GCGCCGTGAGACGGGCCGACCCGGACCTCACCGATCAAATACGAGCAGAACATTAATTCGAGCAAACAGAACCGGCGCTGTTCTGTTTGCTCATTTCTGTTGTGATTCAACCGGGTTCTGGTTCTGGTTCATGCTGCCTCTGCAGCCTCCAGGTCAGTAACCTGAGCAAGATGGCCGACCAGCAGACCCAACCCACTGAAGCCGCTGACTCAGCGACACAAGGTTAGCAGCTTCAATGTCTCCGTGGCGACGGAGCTGGCAGCCCACGGAGGCTCCTCCTCTTCCTCCTCTTCCTCGCCACGAGGAAGAGTACGGCTCCTCTTCCTCGCCACGAGGAAGAGTACGGCTCCTCTTCCTCGCCACGAGGAAGAGTACGGCTCCTCTTCCTCGCCACGAGGAAGAGTACGGCTCCTCTTCCTCGCCACGAGGAAGAGTACGGCTCCTCTCTTCCTCGCCACGAGGAAGAGTACGGCTCCTCTTCCTCGCCACGAGGAAGAGTACGGCTCCTCTTCCTCGCCACGAGGAAGAGTACGGCTCCTCTTCCTCGCCACGAGGAAGAGTACGGCTCCTCTTCCTCGCCACGAGGAAGAGTACGGCTCCTTTCCTCGCCACGAGGAAGAGTACGGCTCCTCTTCCTCGCCACGAGGAAGAGTACGGCTCCTCTTCCTCGCCACGAGGAAGAGTACGGCTCCTCTTCCTCGCCACGAGGAAGAGTACGGCTCCTCTTCCTCGCCACGAGGAAGAGTACGGCTCCTCTTCCTCGCCACGAGGAAGAGTACGGCTCCTCTTCCTCGCCACGAGGAAGAGTACGGCTCCTCTTCCTCGCCACGAGGAAGAGTACGGCTCCTCCTCCAGGAAACACCTGAATGTTTGCAGTTTATTCAAAGCTGCAGTAACTTTTATAAAAAATATCTTTTTTAAAACCATACAAACACTAAATGGTACAACAGATCATCAGTAGGAGGGGCTTAGCGCTGTTAATCATGCCTGTGGCTATGCTAAATAGCCTTAGCATCCATTTCACAAAACAATTAATACACAAAACAAACAACTTGCTTCAGAAAGAGTGTAATGACAGGTTTCGTCCTGCAGGAGGCGATATACCCTCTCTATTGAATGTTTTGTATCAACATGGTTGGAGTTAGCGCTTTAGCATTAGCTTCCATGGCTCTGAAACGACGTGAGTCAAGTTTATCAAAGGAGATAAAACAGCTGAACGTCTCTATTGTCATAAAACTTTATTTCATTTCCTCTTCAGTCGGTATTGATGAGTTTCTGGCCGAGTTTCGGCGGCGCTCTGTTTCTGACTCGCCCTGCGGTCCGTCATCCTGACTGATGGCTCATCCAATCGGCTCGCCTTCGCTTCCCTCCAATCAGATCCGATTTGTAGGGATCAGCTTTGATTTGCAGCTCAATCAGATGTTTATGGAGTCAGAGAGAGGCAGCGAGGGAATCCATCTGACAGCTTCTGTTTCCGGCGGCTGGAGAAGCGTCGGATCAATTTGCAGCCATTATGGATATTATTGCTCAAACTGCTCCAGAGTTCAGACTCCTCTTGTGAAGTCAGACGTCAGGATGAGCCGCTTGATGAGACACTCGTCTTCCTCTCTGCTCGTCTTCCTCTCTGCTCGTCTTCCTCTCTGCTCGTCTTCACAAATCACTCAGCGGCACTTTGAGACGAAAACATTTTGATTTCTGTCATTATTAAATCAAGTAGAGATATATCAATATATTAATATATCGATGTATCGGCTCGATTACTGAAACTCATGATGTTGGTCATGGTGAAGCAGCAAAGGATTATGGGAGTGCAACTGAAGCAGAGAAGCAATCGGACATATTTCTGATATCGGAATATGTCCGATGTCAATAAATATCGGTTATCAGCCATATCAGCAGTATTAGTATTGACACCGTTCAACGTTCATGTGACCATCTCAGTGAATAAATATGATCGGACTCAATCGAAACGTTTTCAACATTTTTAATGAGATTAAAACATAAAGCTTCATTTCATAGAACAATGAAAATATTTCTGTTGATTTAAGTATTTATGTAACAGGGCGACTAATGGACCGGCCCGGTTCTGTCATGGTTCTCATTTTAACTGCAGTTTGTGGAGTCCTTTATTTAGAAAAAGCTTTTATTTTGAAAAATATCAGCTTCCTCCTCTGAGTTTCTGCTCTGCAGTTGGAGCCTGGAGTTGGTAACCAGGAAAACCCGGAGTGGAATATTCGGTCCATCAAGTGGAACGGATTCTTTCAGGAAGCAATAAAAACAGGCAGACAGGAATATTTTACCGTTCAACTTGTTACAGCTGTGCAGTGTGAGCGGGGTTCCCCAAGGCTCTGTTCTCGAGTCACTTTTATTTATTTGATCTACTTATTTCACAACCTCAGCTTAATTTATTACCATCTCAGATGACATCATTGTATATTTCTGTCACCATGACTGCTTTACTCAATAAATTAGTGGTAATATCTGGTGTGCACATTTCTATGTTTTTCCATTTTGTAAATAAACTATCTGCTTTTTTATGTTTCCGGATGTGAATGTACCAGAATACATAAAATAAAAGTCCTTTATTTTATCTCACTTGTAAAAACTTTTAGTTTTTAAAGTTGAACTGTTCCTGAATCAGTTCCTAAAGCGAGTTTGGGTCCAGACTTGTCCTGTTTTCACAGTGAATTGCTTTAATGAAACGATCAATAGTGTCAGTTATTGAAAGCTGATTGGTTCCAGTCCCGGTTTAGATTGCTCAACGGCGTGTTTGGGATGCACACACTGAAAGTTGCTCAACTTTAATATGCAGAGCAACGACAGCAGAAGGAAACTAATAATCTATCACTGCAGGCAGATTAACGAGCTGATGAAGGTTAGTGGAGTCAATCAGCTCTCTGCTCCTCTTCCTCAGGAATTAAACTGAATATATTTAAAAATGCCAAAAATTTAAACGAAACAAAAAACCCCAAAACAAAATAGACAATTTAGTTTTTATCAAAAAGCTCCACATTTGGAAAATCTACAATCAAATGAAACCTTTAAATGGATTATTTGTCAGACGATCATTTCTAAAGTTTCATTGGTTCCAAATCGTCTGAGTCACAGAGACGAAGGCTGCAGCAGCACTGCTCCTCTTCCTCACAGGAAGGTCAACATGTTTCTAATGAACCGAAGCTCAATCTGAAACTTTCCTGCTCTGAACTCACAGCACAGCACAGTGCGTGTGTGTGTGCGCCTGCGTGTGTGTGTGTGTGTGCGCGTGTGTGTGTGTGTGTGTGTGCGCGTGTGTGTGTGTGCGTGTGTGTGAGTGAGTGTAACAGCTCAATAAAGGCTGCTATTTAAAAAGACATTAAAACAATGAAAGAAGAATGAAACATTTTTACGCACTGCGGCCGTCGCTGCTCACACAACGCAAGGTCGGCCCAGAGTGTGTGTGTGTGATGTGCAAGAGGAGTTATCTTCCATAAGGCAGCAGCCTCCCACTGCTGCCCTTTACACACATGGACACACACACACACACACACACACACACACACACACACACACACACACACACACACACACACACACACACACACACACACACACACACACACGCATTCGGGTTGTACAGTTCCAACCTCCCACTGTCACACACTCAGCCGTCCTTGGAGCTCCGATCAGAACTGCTGTTGACATCTCATTTTTTAGGAGCTACCTGTGTGTGTGTGTGTGTGTGTGTGTGTGTGTGTGTGTGAGTTAAAAGTGATGACTCTGCTATCAGCTGTTAGCCATTAGCAGACAGAGTGACCTTTCCTCTTCCTCGATGTTCAGACTTCACTGCGTCACGTTCGGGTCGACCTCAGAACTGATACAGGTTTGGTTTTTAACTTCCTGTTAAAAGTTTCAGAGCTGCTTCCTGAGCTGACCTCTGACCCCTGTGGATGTTTAAGGAATGAAGGATGTTTTGGTTGTTATGACAACTGGAGGCTCTCATTAGCACAGGTCGCCAGATGTTTGCAGGTTGCCAGATGTTTGCGGGTTGCCAGATGTTTGCGGGTTGCCAGATGTTTGCGGGTTGCCAGATGTTTGCGGGTTGCCAGATGTTTGCAGGTTGCCAGATGTTTGCGGGTTGCCAGATGTTTGCAGGTTGCCAGATGTTTGCAGGTTGCCAGATGTTTGCGGGTTGCCAGATGTTTGCGGGTTGCCAGATGTTTGCAGGTTGCCAGATGTTTGCGGGTTGCCAGATGTTTGCGGGTTGCCAGATGTTTGCCGGCTGCTTCAGGTTTAAAAATACTAAAGTAGCTAAATAACACTGCAGTGCAGCGTTTGGTCAGCGGGGGCGACAGAGGCTGGAAGCTCACAGTTGGAACCAGAAAATTACACAAAAAACGAAATGTTTTTCAGACGCCATGTCAGCAAAATTCAGCTGTTTTTATTCTCTAATGTAAACAATTGATTGTTCAACAATCAACAACTGATCGATCAAAATTAAAAGCTTTTCCTCTCCAAAACGTCATAAAGAAAAAATAAAGTTATTATTATTAATAATCATATTACTGAAGGAATGATTTTCTAGTATAATTATCAGCACATATGCAGTCTAAAATATTTTATGCTATTTTATTTTATACTGATGTTTAAGTGTCAGATAAAAAGAACTGAAGATTTTACAGTAGAAATGTATGGAAGACTTTTCCTGCCATAACTGTCATTAACTGTAGAAATAAATAAATGCTTTGATAAGGTAATTATGTGGGAAATGTTGCATTTACAAATAAAAACTTTCACAAATTATTTGATTTCCATAAATTAATATTCATCATTTTGAACAGCATTAGTTCCACATTTTCATTTTATTGTTTTATTATTTTGTCATTTAATTTGTGTCATTTTTTTGCTTCATATTTTTTTAAACTTACCATAATTTTTTGAAAAAATTATACAAATAAAATTAATGTATGGTGGACCGATCATGCCAAAATGAAAAGCAGAACCCGGCCTGCTGGCTGTCCTACCCGGGCTGAGTGAAGTCGTCCACCAGAGTAACTTTCTCCACCAGGTCTCCGCCCACCGAGCGAACCAGTTCGTAGAAGTCGTTCTCCGTGAAGCGGTCGGCGCCGTCCGGCAGCCAGAAGGAAATGTCGTTGTGGAGCGGCGGGTATTTACTCAGAGGCTGGAGACACAAACAACGACATCACTTCCTGTCCGGTTCTGGACCAATCAGAGCTTTTGTTTTGTTTGGTTCTGATCCGCTCTCTGGTTCTGTTCGGTTTTCAACAGAACCAACAGTCAGCTGATCACTATAGACAGTAATGATGGTAGAATTACAATCATTGCTGCTAAAAGTTTTTGGACAATAGTTCTGGATTAACTTTATTTTCTGGTATTTTTGCCAAATCTGAACTAAATTCTTCATAAAGTTGCTTTGAGGTTAAAGTTGGAACATTTTTCTATCGACTAATAAAGTATTTCTAATATCTGCCTGAATAAAAGCAGCTCTCTGGGTTTTATTTCTCCCTCAGAAATGATTTTAGTTTTATGATAAACTTTGTTTCAGTAAACTCGAGTTTGGTTTAGATCTTATTGCTGGTTTTAGCAGAAACATCCAAACTGGTTCCAGTTTCTCCAGAATAATAATTCATATCCAGTTTCTATCAGCCGTGTTTCACTCCGAGGTTAAAAACCTTTAAGGTTTTTATGTTTTCTGGCTGCAAGAGTTTGGTCAGTTTTCTGCACAGTCGGCGTTTCTGCAGTGGATCCATTCATTAGAATCTGCTGAGTCATCAAATCTCCTGTTGCATCAATTAATCCTGAAAGAATAAAAACAGAAAAGAAACGAAGAACCGAGAAGAAACAGAACAGGCAGCAGAGGAACGGAGTGTGTGTGTGTGTGTGTGTGTGTGTGTGTGTGTGTGTGTGTGTGTGTGTGTGTGTGTGTGTCCAGCGGTTTCCTGCGTGCCGTTTGCTGCTTGCTGCTGATTACTCGGGGCGGTTCTGACCCGGGCAGCAGATGAGCCGCGGTCCCGTCCCTCTGGAGGAACCGGGTCGTTAATGAAGCCAGGGGGACAGGAAGTGGACAATGGGGCTTGTCCTCTGACCTTTGACCTTGACTCGCCCCTCCCCTCTGATCAGTGAACAGGAACTGACCGTCTCTCCTGTCTCAGTTTAACGACGGCGGTCAGATAAAGACGGTGAGGAACAAGTCGGAATCTCAAGACGTTTTATCAGAAGAAACAATGAAAAACAAATCAATGCTGCATGAAAGCCATTTTTATCAGGAAAATGTTAAAACCTGAACAGCTCTGAGATTCGCAGCCCAGAGGAAACGTTTGAGTCCGTACCTGGAAGCAGATGGGCGTCTGGATGTCGTCCACCCTGAACTGTTTGAGGAATCGTTCGTCTCGACTCCAGAACAGCCGGATGTCCGGGATGCTGTAGAGGATCATGGCCAGCCGCTCCAGACCCAAACCGAACGCCCAGCCCAGCTTGTTCCCAGCGCCGGCTGAAAAACAAAAAGTCCCTCTTCACCGTGTTTGACTTCACTTCTTCTTTACCCACAAGCCTTTAATCCTGAAGACAACTTTTGAATGTTCAGATTATTAAAACCCACAAGTTTCCAAACGTCTTCAGGCCGAAACCTCCAGAGCTTTTCTGTTGTTTTGATGCTTTTTCAGTATCAAATTAGAAACGGAAAAATTTCCCTGAAGGGAATTTCTCTAAAAAGTTTTCAATCGCTGAAGGCGGTTCTGGACTTTCCCAAAACGAGTTTTGTCCACTAAAGCGATTGACGGAGACACATTAAGTAAATAAGTTCTGATGTAACGAACTCTGACCCGGACCCGACTCTGACCCGGACTCCTCAGTCTGCGGGTTATAAACGCCAAGATGGCCGCCGGTCTGGACCAGACGGCGTCTTCATATCATCTAAATGAAGCCCTTATTGCTGCGCTGTCCGTCACTCGGCCTCAGGCCAAACAATATTCCAGCAGGTTTCTGATTTTCTCAAAACTAAAGCTCCTCAGCTGCACCGCGGGGGTCAAAGCAGAGGTGAACGCTCTGTGGAATAAAGGATTATGGGTAAATCCAAGGATTTCAGGCGAGTTCGGCCTGGGACCCAGATGAGAGGAAGATGGTTTGTCTCTGAGGGACGAAGACTAATCGAGACAAACCTGCTTCCTGCCAGGAACTAAAACTGACGGAGCCGCCTGTCAAGGTTCTGATCCGAAGATTATCTAATTAAATCGGTTAGAAGAAGCTTTAATTTGATCAGAGAACAACCAAACTGCTCAGAGGAAATAAAAGCCACTAAAGTGAGCTGGTATCAGTTTCTCCTGCTGAAACCGACACCAACAGGAAGGCTGGCTGAACCTTCCTGTTGGTGAGACGGAGGGTAAGGATGGAATTATGGATCAATAACCAGATGGATCAATAACCAGATGGATCAATAACCAGATGGATCAATAACCAGATGGATCAATAACCAGATGGATCAATAACCAGATGGATCAATAACCAGATGGATCAATAACCAGATGGATCAATAACCAGATGCAACTTACCTTTAAAATGTTTAACGATTGTTTGAGGTGATTTTCGGTTTTTCTGAAGAGTTGCTGGGTTAAACTCTGCTGCAGCGAACGCTGCCCCCTACTGGTGGCTCAGAGCCTTACCAGTAAGGACATAACACACACACACACACACACACGCGCGCGCGCACACACACACACACACACACGCACATCTTCACTCACACACACACACACGCACATCTTCACACACACACACACACACATCTTCACACACACACACACACACACACACACGCACATCTTCACACACACACACACACACACACATCTTCACACACACACACACACATCTTCACACACACACACACACACACACACACACACACACACACACACACACATCTTCACACACACACACACACACACACATCTCACACACACACACACACACATCTTCACACACACATCTTCACACACACACACACACATCTTCACACACACACACACATCTTCACACACACACACACACACATCTCACACACACACACACACACATCTTCACACACACACACACACATCTTCACACACACACACACACACACATCTTCACACACACACACACACACACACACACACACACACACACAGTGACATGTGAAGGTGGAAACCTGCAGGCCAAACGGATCCAGATCCTCCAGATTCTGGTTCTGCTGCAGCAGGAAACGAGCCGCAGCATCAATCTGTCGCCGGATCTCAGGTTTGGTGACTAAGTCCAGATTTACGGCGCTGCAGCTGCTTTTTATGCTGCACGTCTTAAAAGCAGGAGAGGCGGCCATCAAACTGGTAATGGGAGGTTTACTGGTGTCAGACTGGAGTTCCAGTTTCCGTCCTGATGGAGGAGCAGCGCCGCGTCTGAACAGCGGTTTCCACAGTAGCTGGTTTATTAGCCGACGTTTAAAACCGGAGAGTTTTCTGGTTTTAAGGGGATTTTTATTCACAGAGGATGAAGTTTAAAATCACCAGAATAGGTGAAGCATTTCCTGAAGGTTCAGACGTAAAATGATAAAGTTAAAACTGCTGAACTTCCTGTTTCATTTCCTTCTGCAGCCCGACTCGTTTCAGCCAATCAGGAAGAACCACAGGAAGTCATCGACCGCAGCATGGTGCTGTGGAAACCAATCAAACGGCAGGAAACGGACCTGCAGAGTCCAAACTGGGAAAACTGAGCCAGAATCTTCTAAACATTCAGAAACAACGTGGAAAATAAATCTGAACCGATTCATTTCGATTTGTTCTGCAGCATCAAATCAACTCTTCCTCCTCTTCCTCACCATCATCATCATCATCTGTCCTGCTCTTAGTTTCTGTTTTTCTCGTTTTTCTCTTCCTCTCGTTTCTGCTCCTCTCCTCCATCAGTCTTCCTCCCACTCCTCCTCCTCTTCCTCATGAACATTTCCTCCATCGCTCCCCGTGTCTCCTTCCATTCAGCCGGCTCTTCGTCACGCCGCCCTCCTCTTCATCATGCAGGTAGCAGACTTCCTGACCCGTCGGATCGGTTCTGATCCACTCCTCCTCCGTTCTTCTTCTTCTGTCTTTATTTGCGTCGTCGGCTCCTGGAGCGGCGGATCACAGGAAGGTCATAAATCAGAGGAAGTGAAGCTTCCTGCTGGAAGAAACCAGCTTCCTGTCTGAACTGGTTCTGCTGGAGATCTGAACAGTTAACCATTACAACCAGTTGGTCACTGGATTCAAGACAGAATCACAGCAGAGCCGCCATGTTGCATCGCCGCTGGGACCTCCCAGCTGGGGTTTGGTGCCTCTGGTAAGGCCGAGAGCCACCAGTGGATGTCTGGTGAAGATGAAGTGATTTTTTTCCTGCAGCGACGCTTCCTGCGGCGACGCTTCCTGCGGCGACGCTTCCTGCGGCGACGCTTCCTGCTGCGACGCTTCCTGCTGCGACGCTTCCTGCGGCGACGCTTCCTGCTGCGACGCTTCCTGCGGCAACGTTTCCTGCGGCGACGCTTCCTGCAGCAACGTTTCCTGCTGCGATGCTTCCTGCGGCGACGCTTCAACATGAAGGTAAAACAGTGCTGATGAAAAACATCCAGACTTGGAGCAAAAACGTTTTGCCTTCATCGTAGTGATGCGTTCACTGAGCTCTGATCCAGTAAATCCAGAGGGATGCAGAGGAACAGGAAGTTCAGCAGAAGCCAACATGTCAACCGAGATCTGAGGAACGTTTCTGAAATGGCTTCCCGTGACCACTAGAGGGCGGCGCCACTAAACCCTTCCTGCTTCGCCTTGTTTCCATGAGTTAGGGAGCGCCTTTCAGAATAAAAGCTCCAACAGGAAGCCGGTCCATCCATCAGCGGCGGTTTCAGACAGCTGCTGTAGCGAAGCAGTTAGACGTTAACAGGAAAAGCCTCGGAGGCTCGCCGCTTCGCCTCGCCACGCCGCTACACACTCATCCGTCACTGTTAGCAACAGCCAGCAGACTATTGGCAGCCGCAGCCGTTCCCCTGCACCGTGATTTATAGATGGAGACTCAGCAGCTGCTCTCCGGGACGTAAACACGACCGCAGGGCAGCGCGGGAGGCCGGCAGCCACAACAGGAAATGGATGTTTTCTACAGAAACATCAGAACTGAAACTCATCGCCTCTCTGTCTCCCGTCAGACGCATCATGGCAGAAAATACTCAGGAAGGTCCGACACGTCCCTGCAATCTGCCCAGAAATGACATTTTAATACGTTTTTCAGTGTGAAACCAGAAACATGGCGACGGTTAGGAGGGTCTGCTTCCTACAGGTCAAAGGTCAAGCTCTTACACTAGTATGAAATCAGCAATACATCAGGGAGAAACCACAGAATACAAAACTCCAGAAATAATTCAGAATATATCAGAAATTTCTAAAATACATTTGCACTGAAACTACATATTAGTGCAAACGACTAGTTAGTTACAACTAACTAACTAACCGTACAGAGCAGAATTCAGTCTGCTAATCCACCAATAGTGGAGCTAACTTTTAGCATAGCACTTAGCTAATGTTTAGCACACTTAGCTTTTTTATTTGTAAAGCATTAATTTACTTTATTTTCATGTAAAATTTCCCTTGAATAAAGTTTGATGTTTTTATTATTAACTGTTTGCAATTCTTCAAGTAGTCAAGCTTTTATTTTGAAGGGGTGAAGATGCAGCAGTTCTGTTTCCTGTTCTCTTGTTTTCTGTTTTTTCATCAGTTAAAACAAGAAAAACTGGAACAAAATAAAACTGAGTGAGTAAAAACATATGAACATGTAAAGACGTTACATTACATTAGAATGTAGACGTGTAATTACAAACTTAGCCCACTTGAGGGCGACATACTATGTTATTTCAACACAGTTGAAGCTAAGTGTGTTAGCATTAGCTTCTGCTAAATGCTATCTTTATACAGCGCCTTAGCACTAGCTTAACTAATGTTTACTAGAGCCTTTAGGTTAGCACAGCTAACAATTTAGCTAGCGGTGGCGACGCTAATGCTAACTATGGAAAACACGACCAGAGGTTGATGTGTCTAATCGGGTCAAATGCAACATAAAGAAATAAAAGCTGATATCTCAGCAGAAACAGCAGCAGCTGTTGTCCTCAGATCAACCAGAGTCACAGGATCCTGAAGTTATTTCCTGTCTGAGTGCAGAACCAACCGGCGCTGAAGCTTTGAGGAATGAGATTTGGTCCAGAAACATTTGGTCTGACAACATGTCTGCACTCAGAAACATGAACTGGAGCGTCCAGTAATGAATATGGATCACCATGGACGCCATATACAGCGCAGCAGCGCCTCCTATCAGCCTCCTGCATTAGTTATGAGGTCAGCATAAATCATGCAGCAGGAAACATTGGGGTTACCTGGGCGCCTGCAGGTCAGAGTGCAGGGAAATAATGAAGGTTTGAAATGTGGCGTTTAATAAATGAGATGAAGTTCAGGA